TTCTGAAGTTTGTATTCACTGTTGTGTATGGGCACTGATGTCCCTTCTTGGTTAGCTTACTCTTTGCTCAAGGGCTTTGTGTTTGTGTGGGGCACACTTTCAACACTCAGGGACTTGAGATATTTGCCTTATCATTCAATTCCTATTTGCACAGCCTTAAGGTCAGCCAGAGGTGAGAAGTTGAGGCCTTCTCAGAACTTTCCTGAGCATGTGCACAGCCTTACACACATGCATGGCTTTCTGTATACCCAAAAATATGTTATAGCTGGTTCAAAGCCTTTATGGACATCACATTACCCAGCTTTTTAATTTGAAGGTTTTTGTTTGTTTGTTTGTTTGTTTTTTACCTCAGCTGTTATCTACAGCCTCAGGAAGCAATGATGTTAAACAATTGCCTCTAAAAGTTTTCAGTAAATGCCTCTGAAGATTTTTTTTTTTTTGCAGTGGGTGATCTCTGAGTCAGGTTAAATAAAGACTTCATCGCAGGTGGGGTTGCTATAGTTTGTACATTTGTTCCCCCAAACCTCATGTTAAAATTTGATCCCCAGTGTTGGAGGTGGTGGTCTAATAGGAGGTGTTTGGGTCATGGGGGCAGATCCCTCATGAATGGCTTGGTGCTATCTTTGTGATAATAAGTGAGTTCTCACTCTATTAGTTCCCATGAGAACTGGCTGTTAAAAAGAACCTGGCCCTCCCTGCTCTCTCTCTTGCTTCTTCCCATGCCATGTGATCTCTTAACATGCTGGCTCCTTTTCACCTTCCACTATAAATGAAAGCAGCCTGAGGCCCTCACCAGAAGCAGATGTTGGCACCATGCTTCTTGTACAGCCTGTAGAACCATGAGCCAAATAAACTTCTTTTCTGTATAAATTACCTAGCCTCAAGTATTCCTTTATAGCTACACAAATGGACTAAGACAGGGATATTCCAGGGAACTACCAGACAAGTAAAAAAAAGACAATATTGTTGGAATGAGGCTTTGAAGGTATTCCATCTCCATTTTGCCTCCTCTGATGGCTGCCAGGCTGCTCATTTTCATCATGACTGTGAACTGTTTATTTTCAAGATTACCATGGAGCTGGAGAGAGGGGATAGGAATGGGGCAAGTATTAATACAATGCTATGAAGTTTGCTGTTCTTACCAGGAATCAGCCATTTATCTTGAATAAATTCGTCCTGGACAGCTGTAAACCTCTGGTCAATTTCCAGAGCTCTGAAAAAATTGATTCTAACATTTTTGTCAGTTTTCTCACTCTTTATGGAGTAGAGAATTGTTTAAAGTCCTTACTCCTCCAATTTCACCGACATCACCCACTATCTGGGACTTTTAGAAGAAGATATCTATGAAGACTAAGTAAATTGGAATGCAATCTCTACTCTTTCTAGAATACAACTTATGATACTCCAAAATAAAAACTGCCAATTTTAGACTTCTAAATTTAAACCATAAAGAATTGAGTCTTATCAAGAACTCAGAACTTTTGACAATTCAATTTCCAATTCTATACAACTTACTTTCCTTTAATTTCCTTACAATAACTAATCAGAATTAATTTTGATTACCTATTTTTAAAACAAAAAAAGTCTAATTTAATTAGTGGCTCAGCAGCGTAAGAGACAAAATGTATGTTAATTAAAAGTTCAAGATAATATTCTAGGAGTTTCATTAATGGAAGTTGTATAAGTATGAGACTATCCCCCAACTAGAAGTAATATGCTAATATAAATTCATACAGCTTTCATTTAATAGAAACTTATTCATTTCATGTTCATAAGCATCAATTTCATTTTTTCATACATGTAAAAGAAGAAATTCCAAACTATTTAGGAATAATATGCCTTTTTAGGACTCTAATAAAAGCTGTAGATGCTCTAGAAAAATAAACATAATTCTGCTTATAATTTGAAGGGATTGTTGGGTAGCCTGCAGCCTGTAAGTTAAGAATCCCTATTGAACAAAAACATTATGATTCTGATGGCAAAAATAGAGAATATATTCTAATCATTATTATATAATATCTCATCTTCAGTAGAACAATGAGAATTTAAAAATATGAAAACATGTATAGGTAGTCTCCAACTAATAAATATATTTCATTTCAAAAGTTAATTTGTAAATTATTTACTTAGAATTTATTGCATATTTTTTCTAATAAAAACTTTGTTATAAACAATGGTTGGGGAGGGTAGGTGCTCTTTTTATCTTTGTATTATAATGACCTATCCAAATAAATAGAATATGGTAGGTTCTTATGCAACTCTTTATAAAACCTATTTCACTGAATAATGTATTTGAATACAAGTACACTAAGAAAACAGGAAAAAAATACTGAGGTAATGACAATGATCAAATAAACCAAAAAGCCAAAAATAAAATAATAAAATAGAAAAGTAATGAATAAAGAATAAAATTGATCTTAAATTATCTATTACTTGAGAGAGAAGTTTAATTAGAAGAAAACATAATGGTAAATAAACATATTTCTAGATATTCTCAACTAAACTTATGGATTCTGTTTTATTGTGTTAAATTTCACTTCAAAATATTTTTCTTAATACAACATCTCCTTCTATGCAAAGCCATGAAAGAAGTCATTTTTGGACCCTAACAATTTTTAAATAGACTGAAAGAGCAGAGGGATTTAGATGTTTTGCCTAGGGTGACTGGAAAAGGGTTGAAAGAAGTTGGGTGGGAGGGGGCAACACTGTTCAAAGAGGCTTTATATAATATATAATGAAATAATATAATGAAATAATTTACTATTACATGCATTATACTTCTTTTAATAAAATGTGCCCAAGTTAGAATAAAGTAAGCTAGAGTGAATATGAGCAATAGAGGGTATGAGAACATCATTGCAAAAAAAAAAAAGGCAGAGGTGGTAGAGATGAAATTTTGATTCCGCTTCTTAGTTAACTTTATAATGAGTCATTGTGCTAAAGAAGATGGGAAAAATTCATTCTGGAGCCATAAATATAAAGATCCAAGTGCATATTTCACTTGAATATCATTGACCTCTGACCAAAACCAGACAAAGTCATGAGTAATATGCAGAATTCAATTGGATTTCACTTAATATCTATATGTTGTATCCCTACCATATAAGATGTATGTGAAAAGAGTACAGGATTCCATCAAGTCCAAAGAGGCTTAAGAGTATGAAGGATCAATGGAATGGCCTGGCTTTGTCTTCAGAACAGGACTTAAAGACATTTATATAGCAAAAGCAATGCCAAAGCAAGGAAAGAAAAGCTACAACTTCAGTGATGGGCTCCTATATATTATATTAAGTAAAGATAGGACTTAAACCCAGGGATATAAACTATATGCCAAACCGCCTACCCCTTGTTTAAATTTGGAGTTTGACTCCCTGACTAGGTGACAATAAATATAGGTTCAGTCTGGCATTCTGGATCTATAGCTCTAGAGATCCGGCTGAAGAAATCTATCAGTAAACAACCTCAGCCAAATGAGAAAGTAATTAATTATCTCCCTATCAATATGTCTTTAGCCTATAGAAGTTTAGAATTAGGTATAACAAAGATAAATCAAACCTCTGGTATTAGTAGTTTTAGGTTAAGAAATAAGCTATGAATATTTATTCTAATTATTTATAACAATGCTTAAGAGAATTTTGGCTATATTACTCCAATTTAATATAGGTAATTGAGTAATTGATTTAGACTTGTAATTTTAAATTGGAATCTTACTAAGTTTATAAATAGCATCAGAATATTTAAGAGAAATGAAGATTTAACACATCTATATGTTTAATTAGTTAGGTTTATAAATAATTACCTCAGTACTTGGTTTTCTCGATTAGTCAGACAACTGAGATACAGCAAAACCAAATACAGTATATTAAACTTAAAGGCGGTTAAAGCTTAAGGAACCATAATTTAGATGGAAAGCTTGTTTAGAGGTCAATTTTAAATTTTGCTAAATTTATAAAATATATTAAAAAACATTAATAGCCAATTCCAGAGTATAAAACCATAAAATCTCTAAATCTTACCAAAATATTTTAAAGATTAAAGCACTAAAAACAAATCAGTTAATGATTCTTTGAGAACAGCACTTCTAAGAAACTTCTAAAATCATTATAACAATTCAAAGAGTCACAAAAATATTTAAAAGTAATGATCCTGAAAAAAAATCTGCAGGAACAGATTAACTTGGAGCTCACGGTATGTGGGCTTCTACTTCCTAAAGTAAAATAACTGGATAAAATATAAATAGGCTACGCTGCCCTACATTTTCTAATCTAAACTATCAACTGCATTGCTTTTTGGATTGAAAATGAAAGGACTAAAGGAAGATTTATCTTTCACTGGACTGTAGAAAAGTCAAAAGTTAAAAGACAGACTAATTAGAATAGTTAGTATAATAATCAATTGTGCCATCTGAAGTATGAGCATATCTATGACTTAAAAAACTATAAAGCAAATACCTTTAAATTTTTTACATATTGTTTATAAATATTTATACATATAATTATCCATATTAATAATCTGAAACAAAGTTTTAAGTCCTGAAAGTCTTAACAGTATTGATCTTTCAAATTTTTACATATATACCATATATATATCAAACATGATATATGAATCTTCTAGTTCTACTAGATCATAATCCTAAAGGTAGTTACGCACAGCTTCTTCTGAATTTGTAATTATTATCCTTGCCATTATTTTGCCTCTCTCCCCTCCCATTCCATGTCCCAAACCACAGAATTCAAAATTAGACCCCCCTAAAATATACGTCCAGATTTCAATCTTCCTAGTCAAAAAACATAAGCCCTCACACAATGACTTTATAACTCTTTAAATTACTCTACCTTTTGAATACTATGTTCTACAATTCTGAGAAACTAGAATGGAGTTTAAAGTGTCTCTATCCACTTCCTACTATATCACACCGTCTGCTTCCCCACCCCCAGATGAAGGTTAGGTTGATAAATGGATTTTGGAGATGGAATAAAGCCAGACATCAAATAACTTACTTGAAATCCATCTCTTACCTTCTGTACTTAACCCTGGACTTGATGTGAACTTGGCTACATCAACAATTTTTACAGCAAATTGCTGCCCAGTTTCTCTGTTGATACATCGTCGTACAACACTGAAGGGACCCCTAAAAAACAAAAAGTCAATTTTAATTCATTGATTTTAAGTTCCCATTTTCCATCAATATCTTACTATTTCACTGTTTACTATAGCCATACTGTGTAACTACCAAGCCATTCTATTCTAGACTCCAGATAGAAGATAGTTTTCAAAATAAAATGTAAGTAATGTAATGCTAAATATATTTTTCTATAATTCATGAAATAAGTAATTTATAATTTGAAAAGATTAAACCAGAAAAACATAACACAAATAACTAAATTTGCAATTTAAATCATTTTTAAAAATTTTAAATAGTATTCTTATGTTCAAAGATAACAATCATTGTAATATTCTATACAGATTATCAACATCTTAAACAAAATAAGTAAAGTTCATAGTAGTGGTGGTATATAGAGCTTTATTCTTTTGAACCAGAAACCAAAGACATCCTTGACACCTCTTATCTTAACTGACACTTACCTAATCTTCACTAACAAGTCCTACTGAGTTTACGTCAAATATCTCTTGAGCTTGTCCACTTCTCTCCATGTCCCATACCCTAGTCTAAGCTACTATCATCTTCTACTAGGCCTACTGAAAAACTTGTTTCTTCCATTCATTCTTGCAGTGATGTTTTAAAAATGAAAATCTGATATGATATCCCTGCTTAAAACCCGAGGAAGACAGAGAGAGAGAAAGTATTTGCAATACACATATCTAGTCAAGAACTAAAATATATAAGTAATTCCTAAAGAAAAAAATACATTCCAATAAAATCTGGGCAAAAGACTTTAGCAGGTATTTCACAAAGAGAAAGCCCTGCATGATTGGTCTCCAATAACTTCTCCAGTTTCACCTGAAATCACAGAGAAATCCTTTATCCTCCCCGAACTTCAAATTAGAATTGTTCTAAATTGCCACAGGAAAGGAAGTAATTTCTATCAACGGAGCCATTGGTCCAGCTATTTGCTTACCTAATCTTCTCCTCAATCTAAATTGGTGGCTCTCAATACTGGCCACAGAGTTAAATCAGCTGAGATGATTTAAACATGCCAATGCCCAGGCAACACACACACACACACACACACACACACACACACACACACACACGCGCGCACGCGCGCAAAGGGTTCCTTGTACTTAACAGTTATCAAATATCTAAACTCAATTAAGATAATCCAAAGATAGATTTGTGATGTTTGAATTGAGTATTAAAAATATAGAACAACAATATACTATATAAGTTTATTTGAAGGCTAGTATGGTTTAAGTCATTTACATACACACACGTGTACATGTATACATGCATGTATTTTTCCCGAGGGGGGTGGGGAAACAAAGAATCACCCTTACTGGTGTCTACAGGTACGAACAGTTTATCTAGATGCATGTGCTCAATTAGCAGATAGAGAAAAGATCTTCATTTACACACTTGTGATACTGCTTGCCTTCAAGTAGTTTGTCTTTCTTCTTTCAATTAGAGGACAAGCAATTGAATTTAATCCAACTTAGATTTAAACATTTCTCCAAGATTACATGAATGCCATCAGGAAGACATCAGCTACACTGTAGCTTCAAATCTCTCTCTTCAAGTAACCTAACAAACCTAACCTGAAAGGAAAAAAAATGGTAATAATGTACCTTTCAGAACTCTATAGAAAGAAATCTTTTCGATGATCACTCAAAACCATTCAAAGATTTTCCTCTGTGAGAAGACAATACAACAAAGTGAGGCATGACTCCCACAAACGTTTTCATTTTCAACCTGAATGTCTTACTTGTGATTACTTATCTTGACAATAGCAAGCAATGTCGGGAAACACTTGATGTAATTGGTTTTCGTCCAAACATAAACCCTTTGGGACTCCATTTATATATACATTTGTGTAGTCTGCTTCAATTCACTATATCTTTTTGGAAATTTCCTGAGATCTCTATGTGGGATTGTTTGTGGTCAATTGAGTCAATTCTTTACTTTTTTCCTGCTTGAACAAAGGTGAGAAAGAAAGCAAAGCTTCTCTTCCCACACTTTCAGTAATAGTAAAATTAAGAGAGCCAGGGAGAAAGGAAAGAAAAGAGAATACTGAGACAAAACACAGAAACTTTTTAAAAATCTGTGAATAAAAATCAAATCAAATCCCCAATTCTTTAAGCTAATTTTATAACATGAAGCAAAGAAACAAATATATCTATGAACTATTGAAGACCTCAAGACAGGTCACAAGTAAAGCATTGTAATGGTCTGTCCTTCAATGACAATCAGGGGGTTAACAAAGGTAAACCAAATTTAATACCCTAAAAAGACATCAAAATATACTTTGAGTTCTTCTGTGACTTAATCCATTAAGTAGAAACCCAGCAGAGACTGATAAAAATTTAAAATTTGACTTATATTCCATCTTAAAAAGGGAGAGGTGATAATGCATGTGTGACACATCTACTATATCACATTTATTAATTATACTTGGAGGACAGTTTAAGGAACAGCAAAAATACAGGAGGCATAGGTTTCAATCTGGCCAGCCTGTACCTTCTGATGCTTAAAATTTCATCCTTAAATTTATAAATCTATGGTATAGCCAATTCATCAGTATTTATGATATAGTTGTAACTAATTATGACCAGGGTATTAATCAAAATGGAATAATTTATGGCATTTCAGATTGGATGAAATATATATTCTTTATTAAACTCTTTACAAATACTAAATATTATGATTGGGATTGTAACACAAGGTTCTACTTGAGGCAGATGGCTGCTTACAGCAGTCTATGTTTTTAAGTAAAAGGTCAATTAAACCAGAATATGTTACAACTGAATATTGCTATAATATCCCCTAAGGTTTTTTTTTTTTTTTTTTTTTTTGAGACAGAGTCTCACTTTGTTGCCCAGGCTAGAGTGAGTGCCATGGCGTCAGCCTAGCTCACAGCAACCTCAGACTCCTGGCTCAAGCAATCCTCCTGCCTCAGCCTCCCAAGTAGCTGGGACTACAGGCATTCGCCACCATGCCCGGCTAATTTTTTGTATATATTAGTTGGCCAATTAATTTCTTTCTATTTATAGTAGAGACGGGGTCTCGCTCTTGCTCAGGCTGGTTTTGAACTCCTGACCTCCAGCAATCCACCCGCCTCGGCCTCCCAGAGAGCTAGGATTACAGGCGTGAGCCACCGCGCCCGGCCTTCCCCTAAGGTTTTGAAAAGAATACAACTGTGTCCCTATGCAGACACAGAATAATCTCCTCTAGTTTTCATTTATGTGAAGAAAAGTTACGTCTAGGAAATAAACAATTCTGACACCAAAGATAAATATAAAAATAATAAATATAGTCATTAGAAGTTAATTAACTAGAATGAAATGAAATTATGCTAGAATATAGTATGTTGGTTCCTGGAATAATAGATAGATTGAGCACAATGCATCTAATTTATTTCCCTCCTCAAATCCCACTAAAATGATACCAAAGGGGTTTTAAAAAAAAGACTGGGAGAACAAGAAAGGAGACAATAGTAATAATCAAATTTGGAAGGCAAGAAAGTAGATGGAGTAGTGGCAATTGACTTAGCAGACTTGGGAAAGCTGAATTGCAAAGAGAAAATAAGGAAAGTTCAAAACCAAACCCATTTGCACTGCAGCATTTTCAAGGAGCTCATGAACTTGTAGCACTAGATAACTCTGGAACCAGAAGTAAAGAGAGGATAGGGTTAAAATAAAATGGTTTGAATGAAATTTGTTACAGAAGCAGTAAGAGCCCTAGGTCCTCTACTCCACACCACGGGCAACTACCCCCACCTCATTCTAACAGGTTTATTCTCTGGAGAGGGTAAAACACAGGGTCTCAGAACTGGAGACACAAGGCCGCTGAGGAGGTAGGTACCATATGGAAAGCAAGGGATTATGTTGTCACACATATACTGAATGCAGACAGCCCTAGTCCCTCTTCCCCTAACAGGGGAATATTGGAAGCCAGATCTTTACCGTTAAGGCAGGATATGAAAGACTTTTCTATTGAATATCTGACCACCCCAGAAGGAAAGACCTAAAGATAATGACATGAGGTTCTCCAAACTGCTCAACTAGATCATCCTCCAGCAAAACCCAAAGTCAACACATTCTACCTTCACCTTCAGAGCTCTCTCAAACAGCTTTCAGGCCCTATACTGCAGGGTTTCCAACTTCAACACTATTAACATTTTGAGCTGGATGATTTTTTGTTGTGTTGGGATGTCCTATGCATTTTAGGATGCTTAGTAGCATCCCTAGCCTCTACCCACTAGATGCCATTAGCACACCTCCCCTCCCTAGCTTTGACAACCAAAAGGTCCCCACACACTGACAAATGTCCCAAGAGGGTGGCAAAATTGCCCCTAATTGAGAACCACTGCTCTATTTACTAATCATGTGTGGAATCCAAGGCTCCTAACACATCTGGAGAAGAGTCCCTAATTGGAAGATAGAGTCCAAAACAAACAAAAACAAGATAGGGGAAACAGACTATACAAGAACAACATTTCAAGTTACTATTAATATCCTCAGAAAGATATTACAATTATGAAACAAAAAAAATAGAACTTTCAGAAAACAAAAAACAGTTCTTGAAAAATAAACACATTGAAAAATTTAAAACTTAGTAGAGGGGTTAGATAAACTTGGGAAAAATCTCCCAGAAACTAGAGCATAAGTAACAAAGAAAATGAAGGGGAGGAATTTAAAGGGATAATCCAAGAAACTTTCCAGAATTTAAATCATGCATAGCCCGAATTATAAGGACCCACCAAGTACTCTGCAAAATAAATAACTCATGTTCATACACACACCACTGTGAAATTTAAAATCACTGTGGACAATGAGAATTTCAGGTTTCTAGAAGTGGAGGTAAGGGTACACAGTGGGGAATGATGATACAGTTCATACACAACAGATCAGGAACCAGAATTGCTCCAGATCTCTCAATGGCAACTCTAGAAGTAAGAAGAAAACAGAGCAACTCCCTCATAATCATGAAGGAAAATGATTTCTAACCTTTAA